CCCTCCCTCCCCCGCTCTGAAGAAGTATGCAGGCACACAAAAGCTTATACCTGGAATAAAACGTTATTAGTTTTTAAAGTGCCATGGGACTCCATTCTCTCTCTCTCTGTCTGGCTCTTTCCTTCCCCCTCCCCAGAAGAGGAGGGGGAGGAGCCCTCAGTCAATCAAGGGAAGGGAGGCTTGGCTTTCTTTCTCACTTCTGTGAAACAGGAAATAGGAAAGACTGCCAAAAGGAGCTGCAATGCAGGGAACAGGAACTGGAAGCTGGAAGCAGCAGATAGCCAGTAGCTCATGGGCCGGATAGAAGCCCTGCAGGGGCCTGATCTGGCCCACGAACCATATGTTTGACACCCCTGATTTAAATTGTCCAGCCAGGGCAGGGAAGACCAAATGCCTCCTTCAATCAATCTCTCTGGATGACCATGGGCCAGTCACTGTTTCTCAATCTGCTCTACCTCACAGGGCTTTTGTAACATAAAGTGGGGACTACATAAACTGCCCTGAGTTCTTTATAGGAAGAGGGGGGAAATCATAATGCTCACTAGATCCATTAAGCAATCTAGATTAACTCGCTAATAGGTAGACAACAGTTTTCAGTCTATCTGCTCTCATGTAGGTACACAGAGAAACTGTACACACGACATCTAGCAAATGGGTAGCTTACTCAGAACAAGTTGTTCCTCCTTTTGAGCAACAGTAGTATGACCCTAAAAATGAGTATTTTCCCCCTTTCCCTGTAACAATGCTGAAGTCCATTGTCTATATAAGACAGCTTGAAATGAACCAGCACATACAGTCAAGGTACTGAATGACCTGAATTACAGCTATTCTACAGTACATACAACCAGATCCACTGAAAGACTACACACCTTTAACTGTTCTTAAGTTTAAAAGCAAGAGGCTGGATTCTACTTGAGTTTTTCCACCATAATTTTTGCTGATTCTCCTTCACCCGCTGAAGCCTACCACACCCCCCAAAACCCTAGTGAATCCCTAGGATCAACATGGTGACCAAAACAGGGGGACAATGAAATTGGTGGACACCCCCTCCACACACACACACACCTTCCTCAAGCAGAAAACTTGTGCAGGATCAAAGCCATTATTATGGCTCCAGTCACACTGGGGGGGGGGGGGAGCATGGCCAAAGCGCGGCTTTTCTGAGCCACAGCAAAACAGATGCGCGGCGGCGGGATCAGACAGATCCCCTGGGCCGCCGTGCAGTTGCTTCCCGGCATGATCTGGTGCCGGGGGGGGGGAGCCAAGGGATGGAGAGCGAGGCAGCCGACTGTGCATGTGCGCGCATGCGCAGTTTGGCCGGGAGCCTCAAATGCTGCGGAAGACAGGCGCGCCGGTGATCCCACGGCCACCCTTGCTGCGGAGCTTCAGGTAGGTAGTACTCTTTTCTAGGTTTTTTTTTAATGTGCATTTCCCCACGGAAAGGACGGATCGGGGACAGGTGTGCTCCGCTTCCGAGATGTTGAGGTGTGATCGCGCCCGTTTTCATGCGCCCCCGATCCGTCCCGTGTGACTGGGGCCTTCATACACTTTGCCAACACACTGTGCTTCAGAAGTAAGAGCTTCTTACATGAACAACAGAGGGACAAAAGCCTTAAGCAGGAGTGTTTGAGAATTTCATTTGTGAAGCATCTGAGGCTATGATAGCTTTCCATCCCCATTTTCCATTTCTTACATCACCACCTAGCAATGTTAACATTTGCTTCTCAAAAAACTACTAGTATTTTAATCTTTGGACCCTTCAGGATCAGTGGTTCTGAGAGGGAATTAATGTTTAACCTCAAGTGCTAGGGAGATAATGAAGTTGATCTTTTGGTGAAAAACATTTCCCATCCCCAAAATGAATAAAAGTGGGAAAGGGTCATGGCTCAATGGTAGAGTACCTGCTTTGCATGCAGAGAGCTGTAAATTCAATTCTGGGCATCTCCAGCTAAAAAGATTAGGTTGTAGGTAAGATCCTCAAAAGCCACTACCACTCAGAGCAGTCAGTACTGATCTTGACAAACCAACAGTTTGACTCTGTACCCCTGTTGCACATCCTGTATGCACATAATGGACATCTGTTTTTAAGAGGACACATTTACTTTATAAATAAAACTGGGACCAGTACCTGGATAATTGCAATTTCAACCACACATTCAGATGTACATGCACTGAACATAAGAATGTTCAATGCACTTATAAAGAAAAATAATGTGTAAACTATAGACAGATTGTACGTGCACTCACTGTAATATAAACAGAACTTATATGAGACAGCTTCATGCATTTGGTTAGACACAATTTAAGGCTGAGTAAAGAGGACTCTACACATACCCCTGATGTCTATTTCATCAATCAACAGATGAGATGGCTTCAAATATACAGCACCACTAAGCTACACTCTTTATTCCTTGCAAGTCATAGTTGTCTTTTGAAGGTTGCACAGTATTTCAAAGGCTGCTTCCAGTGCTTACTGCTTTTTAATGTCACACTAAATGGTCACTTTTAGCTACAATACTGTAACTGTTGACAAGGTCATAAATGCTAAAAAAAATAAAATAAAGCCACATCCTTTTTATAAACTCAAACCAGCAATTTTAATATAAAGTCTTGAAATAAACTCTTACCTTGCCCCATATTTTGTTTGTCATTTAAAGTGCTACTGGACTCTTGCTCTTTTCTCTTGAAATAAGGTTACCATATTTTGAAAAGTAAAAAAGAGGAAAAATTTCCCAATCGATGCCTTCAAACAAGTGATCATATGACAAGCCTCATTTTAAATACCTACTATTTTAGCTGTGATAATTGCTACTAACTAGGAATATTCCTAACCTTCCAACCCCAAAAGAGGACATTTTCATTAGTTTTTTTAAAAGAGCCCAAAAGAGGGCAGACATCAAATAAACTAACATGTCCTCTAAAAAGAGGACATCTGGTAGCCTACGTGTGTATGAGAAACCCTACTGGAAATATATGAAATATATAAACAGAGGGGTACAACATATGTGCATCTGACTTAACATATTCCAGCTAGTCCTGCACCGAAGCTTTATTACTCCTTAACATTATTTGGCAATACAGCCAGCCTAGCAACACAATCCTACCCACTTTGCCTCCCGTATAAGAACTCACAAGGTGACAATTTAAGCCTTTCTAAACACCTCTGATGTCTATAGACTCTCTGTTGCTATACAATAAAATAGGAGTCTAGTGGTACCTAACAGGCTAACTGGACTCTTGTTTTATTTTGCTGCTACAGCCCGACACAGCCACGCACCCAGAATTTCCCTTTTGGTGTGCTCACCCTTTCGTGGGATAAAGGAAGATCTTGCTGCACCTTCTACAGCGACCCCTCAGGTCAAGCAGCTCTTCCCGTGAAGGCTGTTAAATCCCTGCAGTCGCACACTAGGTCTCTAATGGGACGAGCCTACTCATAAAGCCAGAACACAACTAAAGTCACATGATGCCCAGCGCCAATCAGCACTTCCGTTCTAACTTTCTATGCAAAGGACATAGGACTTTCACCATAGAGATGGCTAAGGGAGAGCGTGAGCCGATAGAGCAGCATAGGCAACCTTGGCGTTCCAATATAACCGGAAGTTCGGATTCCATGTATCTGTGTAAACTCTATGGCTTAACCCAAGTCTGGAGGTTCCTCTGCTGAAGCGCGGAACACCAATTCCACACTGTCATTTTTGACACTTGTCCCTATTGCTTCAGGGTCCCCCCCCCCAAGTGTTTTGCTCTCTCTAGTAGTCCCAGGGAGCAAAAATATGTGGCGTGGGCCGTGGGGTGGGGGGCAACGCAATAAGGAAAAACGAGTGGCAATACTGACAGTGCGGAATTGCTAAGGGAGTCTATCTCTAGAAGCTCGTACGGTGGAGCTGGTTTTATTTGGGCGGTAGCTTCACTAGAGCATTGGTGTAGCTACGTGGGAAAATGCGCTGATACAGCCCTGTACAGCTGTGGCGGGCTGCTTTTTCCCTGTTAACCCGGTTTTATGCCAACAGTGTGCGAACTGTATGGATTAGTCTGAGCCTTCCAGGCATCCTTTCATTCAAAAGTAAGACTAGCCCTCTCTTCTTGCATCTGCTGATGGCACCTCTCGGGCATGTCGCCTCGAACATCCACCGCCCGAGAAGTATCACAGCCCCTCGGAGAAATCTTCTCCAGAAGTTCGCCTAGTCCCGCACTCAACAGGTTCCTCCGGATAGCTGGGAGGAAAGTTTACGTCCAAGCCATGCTGGAAAGCCTCTGTGGTAGAGGCGCACTGGCCATTAAGACCACCGGGGAAAGCCCCAGTGGGCCAATGGCTTGGGGGCTGCTGCCGCTACGCAGGGGCCGCCTCGCCCGAGCTGGCCCTGAGAGGCGAGAATCTTTTCTTCGGGGCCGGCCCCGCGAGAGGAGAGAATCGTCTCACCTCGCCCTGCCCGGGTCGAGAATTGCCTTGCCAGGGCCGGCCCGCAGCAGTCCTCCCTTCCTTTGGTACCAAGGCCAGGGAGGTGTCTGGCCAAGGAGAGAACTTCGCCAGTTTGGTGTAGTGGTTAAGTGTGCGGACTCTAATCTGGGAGAACCGGGTTTGATTCCCCACTCCTCCACATGCAGCTGCTGGTGTGACCTTGGGTCAGTCACAAGCCCTGGCACAGCTGTCCTTGAAAAAGAGACATTTCTGTCAGAGTTCTCTCAGCCCCACCCACCTCACAGGGTGTCTGTTGTGGGGAGGGGAAGGGAGAGGAGTTTGTAAGCCGCTCTGAGACTCCGAGTGAAGGGCGGGGTATCAATCCAATCTCTTCTTCTTCTTCTTTTTCGCGTTGCTGCTGTGAGACCACCTCCTCGTCATCAAGACCCTTTTCTTGACTAGCTGGTTGCAAGCGCGAAGCTGCCGTCCTTGGATAGACAGACCAAGACTCCCATTAAACGGTTTACTGCCAGGAAAACAGGAGTTGGGCGGCTGTACAGTTTGTCCCACGCGGGTCGCCGTCTGAGTAGAATGGCGGCGCCCACGGAGAGATTCAGCTGAGCGGTGCCATTGCTGTCGTGCGATAGGAGATGCCAAACAGTCGCCGTAGCCTTCTCCCATGGCTGACTTCAAGCGCTGGAAAGAGCAGCGACTGTCACGTGCGGATGGGAGCCGGAAGGGCAGCGTGGATGAGCTGATCGCAGGGATCGTGCAGCTCCTAAATGACCACGACAGCTTCTGTACCACCAGCTCGTGCTCGGGCCGTGTGGTAGTGCTGGAGCAGCCTCCTCTGCCTGCTCCCGCCGAGGTAAGCGCTGCCTTGGCCTCCCACCTGGGGTTGCCAGGTCCCTCCTGGCCACCAGCGAGGGATTTGGGGGGGGGGGGGGGTTAAGAGTTGTCCGTCGCACGTTGGGGAACTCCTGAAGATTTGGGGATGGAGCCTGGGAAGGACAGGGACCTCAGTGGGGTACAATTTCATAGAATCCACCCTCCAAAGCATCTATTTTCTCCAGGGGAACTGATCTTGGTAGATGAACTTGGAACTGGGGATGAACTATAATATTGGGGGATCTGCAGGTCCCACCTGGAGGTTGGCATCCCTACTCCCGGCAGTTCTCCCCCCACCATGTGCCTGAAACTGAAATTCTTGACCATCTGACACTGTTTTCTTTCAGCTCCCACTTCAGTAAGTAATGCAGGGTGACTTGCTGTGGACTCTCTACAGTCAAGAATCTCTTTGTGTCTGTTTGTAGTCTGTGAAGGGCAGCACCTTTTTCTTTTTTAATGGAGTGTCCTAAGTCTTGTTGAACCTGCTTCCAAGAGGACTGGCCTGCATTAGTCCAGAATAGTAGCCATTTTCATCAATTCCTTCCCCACCTCTACAGGTCAGTTCACTGAGCTACAGTTTGTTTAGCATGGGAGGGGCCCTTTCTGTGGCTTTGAGGCCGCAGCTTTTCTCACTAGAAATATGGGGATTCTCTTCTCCATCACTTCCCAGTTCATCCCCCTCCCTTTACATTCACTTGTTAAGTCAGTCCATCGCATTGTCTCCCACCTGTCCTTTTTCTTTTCTCTGTCATACAGTGATAGTTCCAATTTATGCTTGGTATGGGAAACTGCCACATTTCACATATGCATAAATTAATGGAGTGCTTTTTCTCCCACTAGCCTACCACTGGTTTTGAGATCCAGAAGCGAAACTGTACCTGGCTTATGGTGACCCATCAAATATGTACAGTGGAAGATGTGGTAAGAAAACTGTGCCAGTTATTGCCATGTGCTTCGAGGTTGCTTATGTCTCTGTCATTTCGTATACAGTCAATAAGAAAATTTACTTGGTAGTGCTGGATGGATTTAAGAGGTTTATATGATCTTAACAGTGCCACCCTAAGTAAAGTTACATCCTTCTAAATCCATTGCTTAGAATGCTACTGTAAGAATGGTGCTATGTATACTAGCAAAAAGGTTTTCTGTAGGAATTCATGACTCAAGTGTGGGTTTGTAGATACTATTCTCAACATGAATAGAATTATATGAATAACTTCAGCTACAAATGTTTTTAAAAACTCAAATCTCAAGAGCTGTTCTTTAAAAATTACTTATGCTTCCAGCAGGCTCTTGTACCATTAAAAATAAAACTGCCCCCCTCCAACTGTCAGTCATGACTATTCTCTTCTTGGGCCTCAAACCATCTATTAAGATGAAAATTTTTGCATATTAATTGTTGGGTTTTGTAGCTTTTGCTTTCTCAGAATGACCTCTGATGACAGTTGAAGCTATTTTAAACCAGCAGTGATGAGAGATTTCACTGTAATAAAGACTTGTGTGTCACTTAATTTCACTCTGCTATGTTTGTCTTCTTGTGAGTTTACTTCATAAGGAATTTTAGCTTCTATTAATCTTTTCTATTAATTAATTTAGCTTCTATCTGCTAGGTGATGGCAGAATGACGGTTGTTAATCAAGATGGTTTGCAAGAGAATGTAATGCAATTGCTGTATATATTTTTTCTTTTCCCCCTAGAGATGGAAATGTTAGGGTAGAAAATAAGAGGCTATTTAATTAGATCTGCTAATCAACTTTATATAGTAGAAGGTGTCCCCTGACCTGGATGGTCCAGGCCAGCCTGATCTCATCAGATCTCAGAAGCTAAACAGGGTTGGCCCTGGTTAATATTTTGATGGGAGACCACTAAGGAATTCCAGGGTCACTATGCAAAGGAAGTCAATGGCAAAGCACCTCTGTTGGTCTCTTGACTTGAGAACACTTCAAGGTCATCATAAGCTGGATGCCATGTGACAGCACTTTACACACAGAGAGAGTAGAAAGTGTGTCCTAATCAAACACCAAATATTTTTACATTATTTGATGTTACTGTTGTTGTATATTATCGTGTCAGAATTTCACTCTACATTTATCATTAAAATACCATTTGAATTCTTCAGATAAAAAGGTTTATACCTATGCATGCCATTTGCCTATTTCATGCAGGCACTCTCTCACAGCTGGGCCTTCCCCTCCCACCTGCCCTTGCTTCTGAGGCAGCAGAAAAATGGGGAGGGGGGAGTGATTTTGTCCTGCCCCCAAAGCTCCTGGGGATGCCAGTCAGCAGCCTAGTATCCCTATTTGTACCCTTTGTTCTCTGACAGGAAAATGCAAACTTTGTTTTCGCATATTTGAGCCACTGTAACTTGCTAAGAATAATAATGTATTTTAAAAATGTATTGAGAACCAGTGTGGTGTAGCCATTAGAGTGTTGGACTAGGATCTGGGAGACCCAGGTTTGACTCTCCTTTCTTCTGTGGAAGCTTGCTGGGTGATCTTGGGCCAATCGCATATTCTCAACCTAACCTCCTTTCCAAGGTTGTTATGAGGACAAAATGGAGGAAGGAGAATGATGTAACCCACTTTGGGTCCCCACTGGGAAGAAATGCAAGATGTGAATGAAGAAAATAAATAAATAGATGCCTTACAGTATGAAGAATTTTAACTCTATTTTCCAACCATCCATTCATTTTTATTGCTCATAGACCCATAAATCATAAGCAAATAGACAGGATATAATACAAAAGACAACATACATACATACAGTACATTACAATTACAGTTACAATTTCACAAAATTAAGCAATTTGGTTACCAAATATATATTAAGTGCCTAAAAGAGTCAATTCATTTAATACCACTCAGGGTTACAGATAAAAACTTTGCCACTGCCAACATCACATTTGGATCAGTATCAGCTAAGAGATTAGCTACAAGTTCCTGATTAGTAGCAGGGCTCCATTTTTGATTATACACTGAGATCCATCTGTCACGAGCCATGTATTTTCTGCAATCAATGAAAAAATGCCAAATTGTATTCAAATCACCTGAACTGCAATTACAAAGTCGTTCTGAAAAAGGTGTCCCTAGGAACCTGCCTGCTAGTTCCCCAAGAGGCAAAACATTTACTCTTGCCTTGGAAAACAATATTCCATATTTGGGGACCATCAAAGATTTACAGTAAGAGGACAAAGATTCTGGAGTCAGAAGACCTAAATAATACAAAGAACAGAACCGTCGAGCTCGGCAACTTGTACTCCATTTATCTAAGCGTAAAACACTACATTTAATTTGTTTCCACACAGAAGGGTAGTCTACTTGATTGAAAAATTCAGGCGGAAATCCTAAATTTTGTAATCTGCCATCAACCAATTGCATCCATCAGCTTCGAAAATTGTCCTTAGCTAAAAGGTGCAGATAACATCCCTCTAGGGAATAGAGTATTTTTAGCCTAAAGGAAAAAGTTGCCATCCAAGCCTTTGCTTCTAAGGACTGCTCAGCAAATTCCACATGAATAGCTGGACAAGACACACATCAGGGGAGACTAGACAGAGAACAAAGAAAAGAGGTTCAACAGGAGTCTAACTTGTCGTTGACCCTAGTAATAAATAAAGGAGCACCATAGAGTAATTGGGAAACCACTTTTGCATGATAAGCACGAATGGCAGCAGGTAAAAAGTTACCACCCGTAGTCCGGAAGATTTTTAGGAGGGCAGATGAATGTATTGATGCCAGCTCCTTGGCGGCAGTAATATGAGTTTTCCAGGACAAATTATAAGAGAAAAGCACACCCAAGTAATGAAAGGCAACCTGTTCGATCGACTGGCCGTTTATAAACCAAGAAACTTATAACCTTCAAATATTGGGTCCAATTGCACTATGACTCCTCCAGCTATAGCTACCAGATGTTAACTGAGACCGAGGGTTCACCCTGGCTTGCCACTATAGAAAAAAACCTGAGTTCCTTGAATATCTCTCTTGAATCTATGCTGATGCTCTCGGAAATGGAGGTGTTTCTCAAAATAAGGAGCAGATTACTGGAGACAGAGTTGTGGAACTTGTACAATGCAGCTAATAAGACTTATTCTCCTCTGAACCATTGGATATTTCCCATTGTAGGATGCTTGCCCAGTTATTTCTTTCAACTGCAATCTCCAAAATTGCACAGAATTCTTACACTGGCCAGACTTAATGTTTTACCCTCGGCAATTTTATTCGGAAGATTCCAGGGTATCCCCTTTGCCAATAGACTGCGCCTGCACAGGTCAAACTATTGAAACAGTGTACCACATACTGTGTGAATGTTATTATTATTCTGGTATCAGGCAACGTATTTTATCACCAATCTTGGGTAGTGTTTCAGAATTTCCTAGACCGAATAAATTATTATTTCTTTTAAATAGCACAGAGGAAAACATAGTTGAACTTGTGGCAAAGTTTTACTGGTGCTGCTTCTATACGTAGTAAAATTCTGTAAGTGCTCAGTGCAGGGTATCTTTTAACAGAAATTGTATTTTATGTAGAATCTGAATTTTAATTCTCAGATACTATGTTTTTATTTCTGTGAAATGCCAATAAAGGAATTGCTGTGTGAAAAAACCCCAAGAAAAATGGTGAGGCGGTACACCTTTAGAAAAAACAACTACTTTGGTTTTGGAGTAGTTTATGTCCAGTAGCTCCTGAGAGTTTTAACTCTATTAACCATTGCCAGGATTACAATTGTGACAAAATGGAGAGAGAAAACAGGATCGACCTTACCCATGTGGCAAAACAAAGTTTGGGAGCATTTCATTTATGGCAGAATTATGAGTCAGTCTATAATTCCTAATTTAAAAAATTACCAAAAAACTGTTCAGGGGACTTGGTATCCTGTAATGGAATATTTAGCAAGAAACAGAATTGTTCCAAAGAACCCACATTCTTGAGATTTGTTGTATTTTTGAGTATTCACTGTTGTTAACTCTTAGTTTAAGTATTAGCATAAAATAGGCATTAAGTTGTACATAGACTACAGTTAAGTTAGAAAGCTAATTGTTATATCTGAATTTTAATGTAGATATTGTTATTGTTATGTACATAAAATTTAAATAAAAGTATTATATCGCAAAAAAAAGAATACAATTGCTAGTTGGCAAATGTAGGTTTTCTGCAAAACCCAGTTCTTATAATTCAACAGATATTGTGGCCCGCACCTGCAGATAGAGACTCAGGAAGGAAGTCCCTTGCCGCAGTAACTATATAAAAACTTTGTTCTGGCACCACTGTCCTTAATCAAAAGACCGCATGGCAAAACGATTGTTATGTTTTAATGAAAAATAGCTATTTCTGAGATATGAAAAAGACATGTTTCAAGCCCAGCAGTCTATAATTATAGTTCCAGAGGTTATGCTTTAATATTTATTGATTGAGAGCGTGATCCCACACCCAGTGGGAGTTTAGCAGTTGGCTTTCATGAAGGAAGGAGTGTGACATACATTTGAAGATGTAATAGGAAATTACATCCAGTTTTTTAATTTTGAAGTTGAGCCCCTTTCAGGAAATTAGCAGTCTAGAAGCCATAAGGTAACAATATCCTTCAATCACAATGCACAATTTTAAAAGAGTATTTTGAAGAAACAAGTCTCTGTAGGCTAAGGTCTCAGTCCAACAAAGTTACATATATACATATGTGGAAAGCAAACAGCCAGAGCTTTGAAGTACTTGTTGCACCAACATTTATAACCAAAAGTTGCATTTTAAGCTGAAACGTGGTTGGTTTCTTTGTCTGTTGACTGCTACTGTGACAAAGAAAGCTCTGGCTACAGCTGGTGCGCCCCCCACCCCCGGCAAACATATTTCTTTCTCAGACTGGTGATAATTGCAGATAAGGTTTAATCCCTTTTCATTTTTAAGTGAAACCATTTCCAAAACTGCTTGGGGTTAGTTATAGTAAATATACAAGAGGCAGGACCCGCGATACTTGCGGGGGGGGGGAGCTCCACAGTAATCAGACAGAGGAGGGGGCAGCAGGAGGAGGTAAGCCCCCCCCCCCCATCCTGCCAGTTCCCCCCGTCTCCTCCACCACCACCCCGCTCGATTCCCCCCCTCGGCTCCTAATGGACCTTGGTCCCAAGTAAAGTGGGCACAGCACTGCAGGCTAAGGTAGAAATTCTATGAGCACGATAGTGAGAGGCCGGTGGGGGGGGGGACGGGGGACAGAGCTGCGCTACAGCGGGGGCCAGAGGGGTGCAGGAGGATTGCGTGATCCCACGCGCAGAGCGAGCGAGCATGTGAAGGAAGGGAGCGGAGGGGATCTGGGTGCTGCTGGTGTGTGAGTGGTGAGTGAGTAGGGACTGTGGCAGAGGCCAACGCCTGTTTGTCGGGTCGGAGGAAGGCAGCATGCGGGTTGTGGCGCCCTGGGCGCGTGTGGTGATTAGCTTCTTGGCGTTCCACAGAAGATTAAAAAATGCCCCCCAAGTTCTAGCCCTCGCCGGTCCCCCCCCCCCCCGCCCAGCTCCGAAGCGTCGGCGAAGCCGTTTGCAGAGCCCGCCGGTTCCCCTCCGGCTCGATCTCTCCCCCCCCAAGCGAGGCCCGGCAGCTTCAAGCCACTTGGGCCTCGCTGGTCTCTCCCCCCCCTCCGAAGCGTCAGCGTCAGCGAGGCCGTTTGCAGAGGGTTCCCTGCGCATGCGCAGGGGACGCTCTTTCACTTTTGGGGGGATTTAAGTATCCCCCAATAGTTTTGTGCAGTTTTCAGATTTTTGTGCACACCCCACGTGTGCACGAAAATCCCCCTGCCCCCCAGGTGCCCCCGATGTGCGGATTTAGATATCCGCACGCAGGGGGCGCCTTTCGCTATTAGTATAAGGATGTGCATCTGTTGCCAAAGTGCTGGCTTTGTGGCTGTGAATTCATTTCAGCTCTTTAAAGGTACCAACTGAAATGCCACAGGAACCTGTCGTTACAGGCTGAATGGAGACCCTTGACCCACCTTCTGTTCTGAAATGCTTTAAGATTGTAAATAGTCTGGTTGTTTTTAACTATTTGTTATTGGTTCCCATTTTCAGTACTGATAAATATTGTGGATCTTTTAGCTTACAGCCTTGCAGAAAGCCACCGATGATGCCATATTCAAATTTGAACCATTTGTACTTCACGTGCAGTGTCAAGAGCTACAAGATGCCCAGCTCCTGGTAAATGCTGCCATTGTACTTAAATTCCATGCTTCTTACATAAGAAACAGCTGGTTCTTGACTAACTTTTCATGCCTAAACACATTTCCTAAAGCACTTTGTTTAATAACTGGGACTGTGAAAATATGATGATGGGGGGAAATGGGGTTTGTATTCGATCTGCAAATATTCATAGGTAAAATTATTTTTTGTTGAAACCAGTGGCAAAGATTCTACTTACTTTGTTGGAATGAGAATTTCAGAACTATCCCGTCTGGCAATTTTCTGAGCTCTCTGTTTCCTGATATTAGTAGCTAGGGTATGTGGAAAGGATATGATCTGGATTATCATTCAGGAGCAATTGTAACCCTGCACAACATCTTTTCTGTTACTTTGGTTCACAGCAAGAAAAAAGGCTGGGTTGGATCCAGAACTTTCCTCTTACCCCTCTCCCTACCCAAGATCTCCACAAAATGCTGCTTTTGGGGGATAGGGGACCTTGAAGAATGTCATGAGGGGAGTCCAGCAGGAAGAGGGAATCCACACAAATTGCCAGTTTAGTCTAGATTATTCTAGCCCATTGTCTTTAATTTTTCTTATCCCTTGTTTTGAGATTTTATTAATGTGGTAATAATCCATAAAAAGTGCTAAGTGGGAAGTGCTTACTGCTGTTTTTCTTCCTGAAATCTGTCCAGGGGCACTGTCATATTGAAAGCTAATTTTAGAGTTAGGGGCCATTTCAAAAGCAGGCTTACACACACAGTGGTGGGTCCACTGCAAAAGAGGAAAAGAGATAACTGTTGCTTGTGAGATGATCTACTTTTTTCTGACTTTAAAACTGTTTTCACAGTGCTGTTGACTACATTGCTCAATAGGTATTGTGATTATACTTGTTCTATGATTGCATGCCCTTTGCAGTACATCTTTCTGCTATGACATTTTGGAAAACTTCCAAGCAAAGTCTGTTCTTAATGTTCAGTTATAAGTGAAAAAAATAGTTTGAAACTAGGCATGTTTCTGAAGGCATTTAAAATAGTAGTGAGTACTTTCCAATGTGCTTAAAATTTCCTGGGTTCCCAATTTTACAGAATTTGAGTGCTACTGAATATCAATTAAGAATGTTGCTTCTGCTTTTTCTTTTTAGCACACAGTGGCTATAGAAGCTGGTTTCAGGAACTCTGGTATAACTGTTGGTCGAAAAGGGAAAATTATGATGGTATGTTTCTGTTCTGTGCTTCTTAATGTCTCCAGTTGCCAAAGAGATCAGGCTCCTGGGCCCATTCCCTGGTCAAGATTATATGAAGGCAGCTGTGGCATGGCCCAAACGGATAGTGTATGAACGTCCTCTACCAAGTCCTTTGAGGGCAGCCCATGTTTTTTAGCCTTTACCATACCATAAGGCATGTGTCATGAATGCACTACCCATGTAGAGGTGTGTTCTTGTGATACCAGCCAGGTTTCGGGCACAGCTATGGTCACGACCACTTACAGGGCTACTAAAAATGTGATCCACACTTTAGTTTTCATCCAGTTATATACAATATTCAAAAAGTATAACAGGATATCGTTCACTGTGATAAAAATAGTGCCTACCACTGTCACTCATGTCAGATCCCCCCCCCCAAAAAAAAGATAATTAAAATAATCTTTCTTTAAAGGCTTCCCTGGCTGATATAGTGGTGAATTTTTTAAAACTGGTAATAACCAGTAACATTCAGGGTACTGCTTTCATCCTAGGCTGTCCGCAGTACCCATTGCTTAGAAGTTCCACTAAGCCAGAAGGGAAAATTGATGGTCAATGAAGAATACGTTGACTTCGTGGTTCAAGTTGCTAATCAGAAGATGGAAGAAAATATGAGAAGAATCAACAGGTTTGTTAACTGCTAGGAGATACAAATGAGAGGTACAAAAAGTTAAATATTGAATCTAGAAAAATGTAACCTTTAATGTATGCTGAATGGCTGAACAGAAATAGAATCAGTGTGATATCAAAGTTTAACACATGGATATGGAGTTTTGTCTCTAGTGACACTATTAGTCAAAGCACACTACTTAATACTACTTAATACTTCTGTGGATTCTTTGGAAGAGAGAATGAGAGGGTTTATCAGGGTCCCGGTCACGTGGAGAATTTGCCGCGCGAGAGGCACGACTGCCAGATGGATTAAAAGGGCGCGATCATATGGCAACATCTGGCAAGCATTGTGCGCCTGTCTCCAACCTGTAGCGTCTGGCCAAAGATGCAGAGTTAAAAAGTAGCTGGGAAAATGTAGTATTATCCGGAAAACGCGGGCAGGCAGGCGTCTGATCGCGGAAGCACTGGTATCCCATCGCATCCGGTGCCCGTTCGCATCCCACTGGATTTTTTCTTGTAAGCCTCCATGGTATGCGCACAAACACGGTACTGCTTCGTTGCCACGCTTCACCATCACCGTGTGATCGGCAGCTGACAGCCTGAGCACGGAGCCTCGGGGGAACTTCGGATCGTGATACCACGCTTCATTTTGCTCCGAAGCAAATAGCCTCACTTCCCCCCCAGATTATCTCACTCGTGTGACCGGGGCCCAGATTATGCATGGGGTAGAGGAGGGGCTGTAATCCAGGAAGTCACTGGCAGAAATCTCATTTCAACCACAAATTCAGCCACAAATCGAATAGGTAAATCGAAGCAAGCTACTCTCTCTCAATCTCAGTCTCCCTGTCATATTTAATATTTATAGTTATATCTCATATGATTGTGTATGTGTGTTTGGAGTGTCATACAGGGTATAAAGCAGTCATTTGCCTTTTTCAGTTGATGGTAATTGTGAATGTGGCTTTCCACGATCCATGCCGTGAGTGCCACTGAGTCAGGCTGCGATCAGATGGCAAGCTTAGCACGGTCTGGCTCCATGTCTAATTGGGAGTAATTTGTCATGGAGAGAGTGGCGATCAGACGTCTGTGGTTCATCGATCAGACAGCAAACAAAAACACAGTAGCAGCCTGTCTCTCCCCTCAGCTTCACAGCCCAGGTGTGGAGGCCCTTTCCCCTGACAGGACAAATTGTTTAAAGAGGAGGCCAGTCGAAAACACAGTGGCAGCCTGTCCCTCCTCTCAGTTTCATAGCCCGGATGCGGAGGCCCTTTCCCCTGCGTTGAAGAAAAAGGAAGGGAAATGCTCAAGACTTTCCAGCCAGCATTTTTCCCCCCTCGGTTTTGAAAGAAAAGTATTTTCCAATACCTGAGCATGCCCAGAGGAACCAGTCTTTGTGCAGCTGTGAAACAGAACCCTTTTACTTCAGGGTTAATGGGAGCTCAGTAGCAGAGCCTCAGCTCTCAGCTAAACAGCCTTGTTTGCATTTTGAAGCAATAGAATGTGAAGGTGTTGGGGGGGGGGAAGGAGGAAGAATTGCAGCCGCTACTCCTGACTGACATGTCCATCTGGGCTCTTGTGTACAAGAGAACTACGAAGCTGCCCCAAAGCCCTTGCCCCTGACAGGACAAATTGTTTATAGAGGAGGCATGCCAAAAACACAGTGGCAGCTTGTCCCTCCCCTCAGCTTCACAGCCCGGGTGCGGTTATGCGCACATTGCTAACTAGTTTTTAAAAATGGCAGCCAGGAAAACGAGACCCGTCAGACCTGCCTGACGGCTTGGGTTTGCAACAGAGGGATCAGACAACAGGAAATCCGGTTTTAAACCAGCTCAGCTCAAAAGGATTGGATTTCACAGGTATCAAAGAAGCACACAGTAAGGGGGGGGATGGGATGCAGATGACTGGGGCACAACAGACAGATGTTGCTGTCTGAGCATGCATTTTAAATCCAGGAGGGAACAGCAGTGGCAGCAGACTAAACTGCACGTCTGATCGCAACCTCAGAGTGTCAGACTCAGACTTCGGCTTAAATTCCCAGTTTGGGACAGTCATTCTCTCTCAACTTCACCTACCTCACAGGGCTGGGAGAATAAAATGTAGGAGGGGAAAAGCATGTATGCTACTGTGAGCTACTTAGAAGACGATGGAATAAAAATGATAAATAGATAACTACTTTGACAGTGTTTGGAGAAAGTTCATTCAGTATTTTCATCAGACTTCACTGGAGCCTTTCACTTAAAATGTATGCTGTTTGATACCACAACAGAGAGTCTCTAGCTTAAGTATATTAGAAATCTGAAATTAACTGCAGAAGCGGTTCATTGTGTTAGTTGCTTGACTAATGCCTACTTAGGATAGAGGAATGAGAAGGTGACAGAATTCTGTTCTGAAACTGGTTTTTTTCCAGCTCTTTTAAACAGTTTATTGGATTTCTGTGCTCTCGAAAGTCATAGATTCTTGACACATCTGTGTAATGCCTGATAAGCAGTTGCATGAATGGACTGGACTGGTGATGTCTGGAAAATCATTAAGACACTAATCATGCATTCCTTTTTGTTTCAGATTTTACAGCTCTCTGCAGTTTGCTTTGGAAAACAGGGACTATATCAGTAGCTTGCCTGTCAAAGAGAGAGAACAGAGTAGCACAGAACAGAATAATACTGTGGACTCTCATAGAAGCAGAAGAAAATCAAAAGGGTCACAAGAAAATAGAGAATGTACTTCTGCACGGAAAAACAAAGGGCTGGAAAGTGAAGATGATACAGAAAGCAATCTTTAATTTTTTTCACCGACTTGTGTTTCACTGAAATGTTTTGTAAAGTAGACATAGCTGTTGTATACTTGTATAAGGCTGAGATTCTACAGAACCACAAGTGGAATATACTTTGACAGGGTGGAACAGCCATAGTTTTTCAAGAAAGAAGAAAACACATTATTAGGGCGGCTCAGTCAGACAGGGAAAGAAAAATGAGAGAAAATCTTTCCTCTGAGGTAGGGAAGTGGATAGAGCCATCATACCTGCTCTTTGTAAGAGCTTCTCAGATTTCCACGCTCTAGAAAGTAGCATATTTGTAACACAGTTTATTATGGATTGTCGTGATCTCTGTCATGTAGGGCAGGAGTAGCTCTGTCTTGCCCTCCCTTTCACTGTCACTGCCACCATCTTGGGTAAAATCTAACCCCCTCCCCAGCTCCACAGGGATGTATTGCTGTAGCATGCCAAGAAGTCAAGGCAGGTAGGTAAGGACTTGTGCAGACTGTCTCCAATTAAATAACTTTATTTCTACAAGGCAAAAACTCGGGGTCCTACAAGGACAGATCTAGGTGCACTAAGTAAAACAAACTAAAGGGCAGTTGTTATATTAACTAAGGTACACCATGTTGTATCTGGTCTTTGTTGCAGAATGCTCCCATCCCTGGTGCATCTGCAGCCCTCTTTAGCATCATTCCCCCTCTCTCATCCTCATGGCAAACATGCACCAGACAAAGGTGTCAGCCAACCTGGGTGCCAGGTGTTGGGGGCTCAAGCCCAGCAGACTGGGACCTTCCAGTCAAGAGGTGTTAGCGCATCACAGAACTAGCGTGTTTCTTAGTTGGGAAGGGAGTTGAGAGGACCTTCTTCCCAGCCACAGAGATGCCAAGGTCCCTTTCTATTTCAATAACTGTCACAGTAGCTCTTGCCTCCTACCTCTCATCATCACATGGATGTTGAACAGCTAGCAAAATAATAACGTGCTGTGAAAAATTCCATGGAAAAGTAAGGTATATTATGTAATACAAAATATGAAATATTCCAAACTGTGTAGAAGATCATCTTAACAAAACATTGTAATAAATTCTTTTATTTGAAAGTACAGTTTATAAGATTAAATAGTGGTTTTTAAAACACAGAACACCATTCTGCTATTGAATCTTTCTTCCTTTACACATCCCTTCATTTAGTAGAGATAATGGAGAGCACAAGTTCTCACACAATTGGAAGAGGAAAGTATAGCATGAAACAAAGTCAATCCTGATGAACCTGCTGTTATGAATATTCATAACATGTATTAACCTGAGCCACCATCAGTGTTCATTTATAAACATTTCTTTTTTTCTTAGTCCACATGAGTAAGCCTTCAAAAACAAAAAAGCTAATTGTGCAGATACCTAGGAACTGTAATTGTTCTTTCCTTAAAAACAAAAGAATTCTTTAGCATTTAAAAAATGTAACAGATTTATTGTGGTGTGAGCTTTACTGACTAGATCCCACTTTTATCAGATGCAACAAGTGGATCCTCACTTGACATACGTGTTTGGATAAATTCATACTATCTCTGTATACATACAAAGATACATGTATATAGGAACATGATAGTCTTTTGGTCTCTCAATGTATCTTCTTACATATCCCTTAAATTAGGATATTCCTATAAACTTCAAGTTATTCCTTGGTATCAGATTTGATATTTTCATAAAGCAGTGTACGTTCCCTACAGAGTTCAGTGTTTCTTAAACATGTTTGTTTGGAAAGAAGTCCTATTGGTTTGAGTGGAACTTCCTCCCAAGGAAGTGTTCTCAGGATTACAATTTCACATTAGTCATCTCAGTTTTACATGTACACGCACGCACGCACTCCCCTTTCATACCAATGTAAGTTATGTAGTAACAGTGCTATAGGCTATTGAGGCTTCTGCCTTTAGAAGGCTTTCCTAACTTTGCCTGGTGTCTCTGTTTTATTACTCAAAAATACTGTTATTAATGCAGCACCATACAGTTCATTTCATTGAAGCCACAGCTGTGTTTCATATTACTTGTAGATTAAAGTAACATTTTATATCATTTTAGATATCTGACTGGCTGGTGGATATTCTCTGTGCTCCTTGGATGAGTTTTGTACAATCTTTTATATGATGTGACAGTTCAGAGGCAGGGTTTGGGGAGGGGAGGGACTTCAATGCAGTATAATGCCTTAGAGCCCAAAGTAGCCAATTTCTCCAGGTGAATTGATCTTTCTTGTTTGGAGATCAGTAGTAATCCCAGAAAATCTCCAACCACCACCTGGAGGTTGGCAACCTTACTCTACCATTGAACTCCCTTATGCCAGCTTGTGTCCTGACCTTTGCACCAATGGGGTTTTGGATTCTAAAGGTGCACCAATCACAGTAAAACCCAAAGTTCAGCAATAGGCATCTAGATCCCACAGTTTTGGTCCAACAATGTCATTGCAGATCCTGGTTCTGCATAAAAACTGGCTAATGACATGACTCCCCCCATTGGTGTCCAGGCAAATCCAGGTGCAAAGCCTAGCATCCCAAGCCCTCCATTTGTGTAGTTAGTCTTGCTCCCAAATCTTCCATCATCACTGATATTGAAATCACTGGACCTCCTCATCAAGGCAGGCAGAGTATGTTTTATCTCCTTCCAGTTTTGCTTCCCTTCCTGAATTGACCCTTCATGTTCTCCTGTCCACAAATGCAATGCCTGTTGCAGGTCTTGTTAATCCAGAGTGGGCCTCTTCAGCCACCAGAACAAATGCAAGTGCAGAGAGATGCTACAAACCTATCATTTTAGAAGCAGTTCCTTAAGCCTACCTAATACTCCTGATGTATTTTGTGGCTTTTGCCTTTAGTGTGACTTCCAAATTACTGGCTGGATCCTAGTTAACCTGAATAAGGTTCTGCTGAAGCTTCCTGTACTGCCCTTCCAAACAAGCTAGTGTGGGATAGGAAAGGAATCCACCAGACTACAGAGTATCCCTTCCCTTCTTCACCTTGCTCCTGGAAGCCAGGGCAATGTGGGATAAGATGTGAAGGGCTGCAGTGGGAAAGAAAAATCTGTGCAATTTTAGGCCCTCCCTTGTGCAAGAAGTGCCTTCTGCTCACATGAGACTGCCAGTGGATCTCACAGTTATTAAAAAAAATAGTGGTGCAAGCTACACAATGAATCCAAAATGTACAATATTTGCCAGATGATAAAATACAAATGCAATGAACATTTGAGAGGGGGGATTATTCAGACTTTCAATATCACATTCCTCAGCACAATTGCATTTTTGAGTGAGGTTAAAACCAGTTCAGAAATTGCATCAGCTATCGGAAACATCTGCTCAAGCAGCAAAAAGAGAGGACTGTGGTTGACCCTACAATAATGTACAGGAGAACATAGACTTTTCCACTTTTAGTTTGATGGCATACCACCAGGTGGCAGAGTGGTATATGTAGTCAGCACAGAGACCTTGTTCCATGTTATACAGGGAAAGTTTTATTCCTGTACTTAAAAAAAAAAAGCGAGAGAAAAGAAAATGGGGGGGGGATTCTAATTTTTTTTGTGGGAAAACATTTTCTCAAACAGCTCATTTTGGCTCATTTTTAAAAGAAAAGAAAAGTGGAATGTCTGCAGAAAATGGAAAGCCTTAAATGCCATACAGCCACTAGAAATGTGAGTTAAATCTGTGTAGATATTATATTGTAGACAAAACATAAGAAAAACTAGGCTTTCCCCCTTCTTGGAGAGCAGACACATTTTGAGCCTTAAAGGAAGTATGTGGGTTTTTGTATGCTAAATCCAAATCTGTAAAATATTAACAGGACAAACCACTGGGAAGGAATGTTATATTTTGCAATGACAATCACCTTGAATGCTTATCAGGTTCTTTGTACTCAGAATCACCCACCATAAACCACTTCAGGGTGCCACTGTCAGATAGTTGAACAGGTATGGATTGCAATCTGCTTCTGCTGTCAGCTACAGTGGCAATCCACCCCTCTGTCTCCACTCCCTTCAAGTTACTGTGTGCAATACAAGCCATATGCAACATCCCTTTTCCCCATGGCTATCAATGGATCAATCCCAATATTACAATATTTCTTTTGAGGTGGAAAACAGAATTGTAGGGTTGTATCCTGTGGTTGGTTGCTACCATCAAAAGGGAAGGGTAAAGCAATTTTTGCCAGTTCTCCCTCCGCCTAGGATGGAATGAGGAAGGGATCCTCTAGAATCTGGAAGATTCCTGCCATACCATACCCTACATCATGATTGTTCTTGGGGGTCCTTTGAACAAGAGATGCAGAATTTCAGGAGGCACAAGTGGGAGGAGAGATGTAGGACACTTCCACATGTGGAGTTCTGCTTATAGTTGGATACAATCCACAGTGGCTGTGGTTGAAAGGACTGTACAAGATGGCCTACTTACACTGAGGTTCTTCTACCACCGTTCTGCTGCAGCCCCTCGTTTCAGTGAAAATTTAACTCTAGATTTGGATGTTGATAGCTTTGTATTTCTCTCACTGTGAAATCTTACCCACAGGCTTGAACACATAGTGTTTATATTTTATGATTATTTTGTGTGTCAGTTGATGAGGCTATCAAAACTTAAGCAGCCAGTGTCAAATACTTGAATTGTACCACAGCGCAAAGACCATAATAAACTGATAACTAATGAAGCTGTAATGTGGTCCATACCAATACATGGTATGTACTGTCAGAGGTAGCCTGTAAACTGAAAAAAATGTTGCCTAATTTTTTTTAACTTCCAAGAATATTTGGGTTTTATTTCTCTAAGCAATAGATTTTCAATTGTGCCATCATTTTCCTTGCTTTATATTTTAGGAGCACATAACAGTCAATAGAATGCCAAGAAAACTATATATTCTCTCAATTTTTCAGGAGAAAGACCTTTTTCAAATGCAAATGAAGACCCTTCATCCTGAAAATGTTATATAACACCATGGTTATTTTGGGAGGGGGGTTAACTTGAAAATAAAATATTTCAGCTTCTATCTTGTATTTTACAGTATAATCCTAAACAGAGTCATTCTCTTCTGATTTCAGTAGATTTAGATGGCTGTAACTATGTTTAGGACTGCGATATAAATAAGCAGATTTTTTTGTGATATCTGAGCTAGGTTTCTTTGAAAAAGAAAGAGAATGTTCTACCAGCAGCTAGCACTAGAGCTGAGCCCACCTTGTGAAAATGAACTGGAAGTTACAGCGAAAAATGCAAGATTTCATAAGGTATATTAAAAATGACATAATTTGGGGTTTTATTATAAGACTTCCTGAGAGAGAAAAAACTAAGTTGTGTGTACAAAGTTTACATTTTTGCCAGTTTGAGGCTCTTCCCTAAATCCCTATTTATCGTTTACAGTGTTTACAGATGATGATGATATTATTATAATTAATTCCAGCATATTGATTCTCATTCTAATATACTTTACTTCCTAGTTAGAAATGTTGACAACCACAGTGGTATGTTATTACAATAGTTTCCCATCACAGCCAGATATGGAAAAGTGCTGAGAGTTCTTGGGCCAAACTGACATTTTAAGAACAGCAGCTGGGATCCTAAATGAAATGAACAGAAATGAAATCTTGTGCTAGAAGAAGATACTTCTTCCTCTGGAGCAAGACTCTTTGCTTAGAAGAAAGGTGGTGTTCTCAGAACTGAGGTACCTACAAATCCCTCAAATCATGTCTTCCCACTTGCTTTCTGTTCTGTTTTTTGTTTGTTTGTTTCCATTCAAGCTATTATCCGCACCCATCACGCAGCCCTGTGTGTGTCAATATCTGAGTGTTTGCATTAAAGGCCATTGAGTCAATGAGCAGGATCATACTTTTTATTATCTGTTCAACATGAGCAGTTTTCCAGATTTGTGTTAGCAGTTCCACTTTATAAAATGAAGTAATTTGCTATATTAAACAAATTATCAAATACATATTAAGTATTTAAACCTG